TATTTTGGAAATGGAATATTTTACAATAATCGATATAGCTTTTTCGTCGATAATACAAAATCTTGAATTATGTATACACCAAGTTTTAAGTAAAGTTTGAATCTCCTATTGAAAAAATTCGCTATGGCATAGATTTCGATAAAATGATCAAAAGACACTTAGCCTTATATTATTTGTTTAAAACAAGAAAACTTAGTGGATCTCTTAAAAGATTGTATAAATGACAACATGACGATTTAGAAAAAATGTCTTATAAGTCCGTCAATTACGAATTGTTTTCAAAAATATTTGAGAATCTTATTAGCAATTTATCCTATAGTTAACAGTTTAAATTCTTTACAATATTTGTATTTATTATTACTTATTACCATTATTATAGATACTTAAATTTTTAGTTTTTTTTTTAAATTCATTACTTTGTTTTGTCAACAAAATAATATTAATAACAATGCAACAATGTTGTTTTGTGCCACAACAAAAACTGCTTGAATTCACAGCAAAACTATCATTAATGATGATAATCGATAATTTATGGCCCATCATACTATATTATGAAAAAGGAAAATGAATTTAAGGGGAATTGATCTAAAGATTTAATAGACAACAATAACTATTTGTATAATTTATTTTTACATATACATACTTGTAGCTCCGTATGTTTAAGTATACATATGTGATACTGTTACAAATATACATATTCTTCCATTTTATGCTTTTTCTATTCTGAAAATTTATGATTTTCAATGGGATAAGCAATAATAATGGACGGTATACTCTCTATTGTGATATCCTAACAACTTTGTTTTTTTTTAATTGTAAATGATCCCTCTTCAAAATATAATTTTTCATTTAGCTGAACTAAAATAAAGTTCTGTATTTTTGAAAAATGTGTGCATACAAACGTACGCATTTGTGTGTATAAAAATATTTTGCTTTTACAAAACCCATTGTGCATAAGAAGTCAATATTGAAAAAAGAATCAAGGACAATTTTGGTTTTCACACATCCTTTTGAATTTAAACCAGACATTTACATTGAGTTCATAACAATTTTGACCTATGTTATAGTAAAATTGTATGCAAAAATTTGTTTGCAATTATAAGTTTACCTTTTCTTTCAATTTAATTTTTTGCGATATAAATACATAATTATAAAAGAACAGTATGTGATCAGAGAGTTTAAGGATTTTAGTTGTTTTCATAACAAATTGAAGGATATTCAATCGAGATTAGGATAATGTGCTACTTTTTTGTTTATGGTTACAGCTATATGGTCGATTAAGTTTGATTTATGTGTACAACAAAATAAATTTTCAATGCATTTTTAAAAATCTTAAAAATGTATAATTTAATTTGCAAAGGTTAATTATATAATTATTAGGGGTTTTCAAATTTAAAATTTAATCGGATGATGAACAATAATCGTTTTGTTTTTTTATAAAGATTTTTAAAATTCATAATAAATGAAACCGATACAGAAGAATTTCTATTAAATGAACTGTTAAGACGCTAGTTAAGTTTTATTTGTAGTACGGAAATTTTATAATATGGAGAGTCTTAAATTTTTATTCTAAATTGTGTAATTAGTTTTTGTGCAAAGAATATCATTATATGAATTAGTTTTGATATAATATTTATGCATATATATGAATTTGATGGAAAAATATTTATGCATTTGGTAAACGCTATTCCTAAATTGATATTGCGCGTCAAATTGTCAAAAGTTAGCTTAGATATCACAATGTCAAGCAGTTGATTTATAAAATTTGTCACATATTCATCTAGTCTCATTTTGGCTTTTTGCCATTTTTACCGAAAATAAATTAAATTAGAAGCTTTTCTACAACAAAAATTTTAACGGCCAAACTAGTGGCAGTTGTTTATTTTATTAACAGCTCGAATTTTACTTACATAGTTACCAAATTGTTTCAAAACCAATATAGAGTTTTTTAAGTTCATTTAGAATTTTTAAAAATGGAAGATCACTTTAAAAGTTTAACCTTATATGAATGTGTTTGGCCACATTTGAAGGTGAACAAGATAGTAGCCCTTGGGTGGCGAATGTAGATCCAACGAGTGCCAATGCCAAAGTTTGTTTGGATATCCTAGCTTTTAAAAAGCAATAAGCTTTTTAGCTATATTTTGTCAAGATTTTTGCTTTGAACTTCATTCATATCATATTTTAAATTGAAATGTGGTATCTAAATTTCAAAGCTTTATGTTTCAGTCTGGGCTTAAAAAAATAATATTACCTAGCTTACAAGTCAATTTTGTAATGAATTTTTATTTTGCTTCAATAGAGTTTAGTATAATTTCAACTTTTAAGTTGCTTCTGATAGTACAAGTACAATGGGAAATCCAGAAAAGCTGGTAACGCTAATAAAATAATGTTATGACTTCTTTTATTTAATATTAGGTCAATAATAAAAAATTGTAACACAGTTATCCTTAAGATTTAATTGTTGCAAGTATAAGTGCTGAAATGATGAAAAATTAATAAAAACAATTTATTTATATTTTTTTATCCTCTTGAAAAAATAACGTGTATTGTAACAATAATGACTTTACAAATTTTATTCTTCATTTTGAGTGTTGACATAAGCAAGAGAATATTGATGAAAATAAAAAAATCGAAACTTTCAAATTTGTTTTGTTTGTATTTTCCTTACTTCTTATAATTTATGAATTCATAATTTTGTAAAGATTCAATGCTTTGTTAACTCTGAAATCAAAGATGGTTTCTTCTTTTAAGATTCTTCATAAGAAAGTTAAGAAAACAAAATAGCATCTGTATAAAGATGCTATTTTTAAAAGATAATCAAGGGATTATTAGTCATGTCATTTGCCATTTCAGTAACTTTTTGTAAAAAGTAAAATCTCAAATGATATGAATTGAAAAATACTCAATTGGATGAAATTATGGGAGGTCTAAAAAATATAAATGTATTAAAGTTAGTTGTGAATATGGTTTAATTTTCAAATTTTTTCTGATTCCTGATTTGAGTTATTTTAGAGAAATGGTAAAAAAATTTAAGCAAAGTACTTTCAAAACAAAAATACTATGCCTTTCAAAATACTATGATTTGATCACATTTTTTAGCAATTGTAGCAGCAGCTACAACACTATTTCGGTTTTATGCCCAAAACTTAAAATAAAAAATTTCTTATCATTTAAAAAAAATTCAATAAATGATTTTTTAAATGCATTTTTATTTTTATAAATCAAAATAAAAAAAATTGTCTAAAAACTACTGTTCCCTACTAGTTATTCATAAGGGGTAAACGATGGTATGCACAATGATTACAAAATACGATCAAAATTTTCCATAATACTACCATAATGGTAAAATTTTAACAAAGCTACTATTACGACACTATGCGTAATATCTTTTATCGTAATTTAATACTGAAAAATTATTATTATTCTTTTCGTCTCTTCTTTTACTGTTATTTGTGCGTTTTACTTTGAAAAAGTAACTTCTTATCATCATCCTCTTTGTTGTTCAATCTTTTAACATTACAGTCATGATAGTTACTATTATGGAATTTGTTATTTGTATAACTATAATATGTTATTGTTATTTATTTTTCGTATTGCTGTAAATGGTGCTGAATGCTGAATAATGATGATGATCATTTATTTGTTTTTGTTTTGTTTCGGATCAGCTGTAGAGCATAAAATAGTAACAGCATCTCTTGTATACGAAAGTAATATTATTTTGTTTTCATTTTTATATCGTTGATATCGGAGAGTAGTAACACGAAATAACGATATCGAGATCGACGGTGGTTGAATAATAATAACACGACAGTTATTGTTGATATTTAATTTTGTTTTTTTTTTTTTTTTTGGTTCAGTATTCGACCGCGACTTAAAACAAGAAGAAAAGCAAAAAAGAAAAAACAGAAAATAAATAACTTTATACTTTTTTTTCAAAGTTTTAAATCTTAAAATAGATTCCTCAGTCGTGAATTGACTCTTCATTGTAAAACATATATCGGTTAAAAGAGAAATAAAACGTGAGCATAACAAAAAAAAGTAAAGAAAACAAAGTAATAAATACGGAAATAGTAACATTTGGGAAGCTTTACTATTACTATACTTCGAATATTTTCGTAGCAGGCAACAGTATTTTTCCGTCTTATTTTTGACAATAAAAGAGGATACTTAATTTTAGGAATCACTGTTTGGAATTTTTTATATGTGGCGTGCTCTATTATTGTGTTTCTTATTTTTTTTTATCAAAATTTTAATTAAAATTTCTAATGTAACAAACTATAGAAAAACAAATACATATTATATTATGTGTTTATGATCTGTGACAAGCTCAAACTATTGTCACAAGAGTGCGTGAAAATAAACAAAGTGACAGGATAGAAATATAATTTTAGAGGCTTAAAATTTTAGTTTTATTTTTTTTTATTTTTTGTTCATCATGTAATTAAAATTTTTGTTGGTTATGCTTAAATAAAGTTCTGCATTTTGTCATTAATTTTTTAATTTAAAAATAATTCATAACTAAGGATCATTATTAAATTAAATTAAAAAGCAAAAATTAAATAAAATTTTAATTTTAAGAAGAGATTTGAGTGTTAATTAACATGAAGATTTTTTAATTTGTACGACAATTAAGTATAATGAAATTAAATAAAAATTAAAAAGATAAATTAATTAAAATTCATTTTGGAGTAAAATTTTTAAATTTTACAGTGTGTTCGTGAAATAAAACTTATATTGTGAATGAAAAGCGAGCAGTATTTTTGTTTCAAGCAAATATACATACACACTCAAAATTTAATTAAATTATCAAAACAAGAATGAGTAAAAGATTTTTCCAGTCTTCAAATTAAAATTATTTTGTAATATTGTAAAGTTTTATGGCTGTTTTATTCTTAAAATTTGCTCCGTTTACCAAAAAATCACTTTTATGCAATAAAGTAAATAAATTAATAAAAATTATGTACTTACTGAGTGTATTACTAATTTGAATAATAAAACTACATTTACGGAAGAACATTAATTAAAATTTGGCAATTATTGAAAATATTCAAAATATTATTTTAAATGTGACACCATTTTGATATCAAAAATTTTAAGGTGAGAAAAGAAACGTTTTATACATGTCTTATATTTTTATTAAAAAGTTTTGTTTAAAAAACAATTTTATTACCTTCTTACTTATTTAATTTTGAGAAATTTTTGATTCTCCGTTTATATTTTGTAAAAGTGGAATTCCCTTTATATTCATATTTTTATAACACATCTGCTCTTATAGATTAAAAAAATAATTGGAGGATCGTTTTAGATTATTGCAAATAAAGACTCGTTAAAATTATATATAATTTATGTCTTTTCTCTCTCTTAAGACTTACAATTTTAAGGTAGTTACAGTTGATTAATTAAATTATTTATGGAGCTCTCTTGAATCAATTATTTTACTTAAAATTACTTTATTACCATAATATTTGGTTAAATATTTTAAATAATGTTTTGATTTTACGAATAAATAAAGAAAAGGCTTAAAATGTTTATATTTTATATTTAATTTATGAAAATGCAGTATAAGCAGGTGGAACTGCCCCTCAAAACGTCGTACAATTAAACTGAATGCTAAAAGAAAAATTATTCTTTTTGCTTTTCTGCGAAATGGCGCACTAAATAAATTTCTCCATTTTGCATATCCCCAAAGTGTCTTTTTTCAATGCATTTTCGATTTGCATTTTAGAACATAAACTCATCAAAAATAAAAATATTTAAAAAGTTATAAATATAAAACAGTTTAAAAATTACGAAACACAAATAAGGAATAATGAGATTGACATGAAAAAATTATTACATTTACATTGTATTTCGAAGAAGTTTTCAATGGGGCGCTAATTTTGTAATATGGGAATGAAACCTAACCTCTAAACTTTAAAATAAAAATTAGTGAAAACTGGACTTTCATTTTAATTCAAGGGCGAACGCTGTTATTTATTTGGTTAATTGTTTGCATCCGCTCTTTAGATATTGTTTGAGTATTGTTGGATAATAGTAAATTGGGGTATTAAAAACACTGACCAGGTACTCAATAAATCCTAGTCATTGAACAGTATTTACCCTTCGTGTCCCGGATCCAAAACGAAAAGTTACGTTTTGACTTTTAATTGTCAAATTTGTGTTTATTCCTTAATTGTGTTTTATTGTAAATAGACTTTCCTATTTACTCTGAAAATTATTTTTGTCAGGAGAGATACCTAATTAACCACTTTTTAAGAAAAATTTAATTAACCACTTTATTAAGCTTATCCACAAACTTAGTAAACGCCTCAAATTTAAAGACAAAAATATTTAACACAAAAACAAATTTATTTTCCAAGTTCAAAAGGAAAACTATTTACTTATAAAAACTTTTTTAAATTAGTGATTGTGACTCATAATTAAAATAAAATATCATCAATATTAGAATTACAGAACTTTTTTTATTAGCTTACTGATGCATCTACATGGTGTTGTACATATATTTACTACTATATGTTTTATAATGTGTAAATATTCAATCTGTATATTTAATTATTTATTCTTATACAACTCCATTTTAGTTCATTATTGGTTAAAAACGTATGATAATGATATAAAATATGACTTCTAATTGTCATTTATCACAAAGATTTAGCAAAGCTTTTATTAGACTATTTATACTTACTTAAATAAAATGTACACGTGTATGTTTTCCTCTATCGCTATTTTTTAATTTTTCATACAATAATTTTTATTTTTCTTCACAAATAAATCGTGTGCATAATATCTGACTGTAGTTAGGTATAATTACAGTGAAAATTTGCTTAAATTCAAATGTTAGGTTTTTCAAAGATTAGGTATAATCACTCTGTGATCATTCTGTAAACATGGCAAGATTATTAAGGGAGGGAGTTTTCTGAACGATCTTGGCGCTTTTCTGGAACTCAGGTTTTGATTTTAAGTTGCAGTTTGATATGGTAATAAATGTGGCATTTAGCTTATCGCATTCCACCTAAATGCTTGCGACAAGCAAAATTTTCTAATAATAAGATAACTTTATGAAATTCCAAAATGTACTTACTATAGTTTTATTTTATACTGTAGTTTAAAGTTTTATAGGTACATTACTATTATGTAGGAATAAGCAGAAGCCGTTTTTCTTGTATTTCTTAAAATTCATATTAAAGAAGTTAAATCTGAATTGTTGATTTGAAGAAAAAAAAGCAACAAGCAATGGATTATAGATATGATAAAGTGTAATAAGATAATTTTTTTTTATTTTTTTTATCCCTAACTCCGCCCCTTAGTGGAGCATAGGGCTGGTGCACGATATTGTAAAACCGAGAACAACAGTTTCTTACGTTTTATATCTTATAATGTAATGTGTATAAAGCAATATAATATTGAATAAATATAAATATAATTATATTAAATAAATATAATATTGAATATAATTTTTATACAGACCTGACTGGGCTTTGAACCTGAGACCCTTTTGTTAAGGTCCATTGCAATAACCACTGTACCATTGGTCAGGTCGGTTTAATAAGATAATACTTATGTATATCTTTTCCAAATTTTGAACAGAAATTTAATGTTCAAGGCAAATTTGTAAAGAATGTGCAGCATTGATGCACAAAAGAAAGGATTTTGTTCTTCGCGAAATTCTTGAGTCTATGTGAAGAGTATAGGTTTTGAGGCAGTGCTTTGAAAGGTTGGATTGCACTGCATAAGCAATACAATAAGCATTGTTGCAACATTGCATATAACCCAATTAAATCTCATTGGCATTACTTGACAAGTGTTTATTCTTCCAATATTATTTTTCAAGATACAGCGTTTTTATTGTTTGTAGATCGAATTTTAGCAAGGAACGGGAAAAACTTTATTTTGGAAGAGTAATTTTATAGTGCAAAATGTTAGTTCACTATCTTAGATAATCTCAAACTCTCAACAATAAACTCTATCAAAAAGCATATAAGGAACGGCAAATTTCTTATAAATCAAAATTTTTGTAAAGACCCAATTAACGGCATATTCCTATCAATTTGCTACGGCTTCCACCAATTGTGTTCCCATCCGAATGATGTGTAACAATTCAGGCAGAAATTTTACTAAATACAAAATACAAAATTTTTCTATACGTTCAGGTAGCAAGTATATGCTCAGATTTAAATTTTTTTTGGTTCATATTTATCGATCGATTTTAAACAAATTTGCAGTTAAAATTATTAATTTTAATTTAAGCATATTTAAGAATATTTAAAAATAAAGATTTCTGTATTAAATTCTATAGAAACAAAGAACTCTAGTATTCTGAAAATATAGATTTTCAAAATGTAAAAACAATTTGTTTTCTACATAACGACTAAAACTTCATTGTCATTTCCAAAGGTTCGATTATAGACAATTTCACTGTGCTCAAGAATTTATTTAAAATATTTTATTCTAAGAGTTAATTGTGAGGAAGAGTAAAATTATTAAAAAAAAACAAATAGAAAAACGTGACTTTTAATTTATTAATTTTTTTGTACTATAATTTACTATATTATCTATCGTAGATATGTGTATATAATTTATATTAAACATATTGTGTATAGTAAATATATTTTTAATGAAAATAATTATAAATTAAGTAAATTTTTAATTTCCCAATGCAGGGAATTTTAAAATTAAATGTACACAAGGTTGCGAATTAATGCATCCTGAATGGGATATAAATAATGGGTGTAATAATATCCAGCGATGTCTATTACAAAATTCATAATTTACCTAAATATGTATAATAAAACAAAAATATTGAACACAAAATAATTGTCTTAAACTTGAGTTAAAACGCGTGCATGTCTTGATAATATTGTCCTTTCTAGTATTGATCCTAATAAATTCTTAAATTCTAATTATTTGCATATAGAAGTGAATTTTTATGCATTTTTATGCTTTATTTTCTAAGTTCGAGAACTAGAAATGCAAATCAATACGTATGACTCCAAAAAGTGAATATAGTTTATTTAACCAACCTAAACTTCTCCTATGATTACAGATTTTTACTGCACATTCGTAGCTCAAAATTATATAATATCAATACAAAATTATGCAAAAATAATTGTAAAAAATAATTTTGCTTTGTAGATTTCTTAAAAATATTATGCCTGTACTCTTCCAATACAGGTGTTAAGATACAAAAGTACTTGACACAATATGTGTACTCTATATGTACTTACTTATATGAAAACCGCTTCATACATAATAAAAGTTGTAAATATACAAATTGTAAAATACATAACAGAAGCAGTGTTAAATGATTTAAAATGTTAATTTATTGTAAATAATTTAAATGTAATGTGCATAATGTTACCTTCATTATTTCGATTAAAATAGCATTTTGTACTTTATTAAAATACAAAAAAAGATGAAAATATTTAATCGGTAAGTAACGAATTAATAATAAAATCAAATTACCTTGTTTACCTTATGAAGGACACAATATTTTCTTCATTAACACATTAAATATTTTAATTTAAATATATATATATATATATATATATATATATATATATATATATATATTTATATATACAGTAAAGTATGGAATAAAAACGAGTTTATATGTGTATGAATAGTTGAAGATGAATTTCAATTCAATTGAGTAGTTTATTTATGCAATAGTGATGGAAAGTAAGTGTGCACTTTTAAATTTTATGAATTAAACTCTTCATATTGCAGAGTACACAGTGAAAATGAAGAATCGGATTCTAAGTCTTTTTATTAGAAAAATTCGAATTTTGAAATGCATATTATTGGTATTTGGAAGGGTTTATTTTAATATGAAACAGTATCCTTGACTTAAAATTTACCTTACATGTTAGAATTGATTTTAATAACATATTATTATTGCACTGTAGTTAAAATATGCGAGATTTGCACTTAAAATTCCAATGAACGACTAAGCTAACATCATATTTTGTAGTTAAGGTTACTATTTTTTGACATTTTAGTTAAAAATTTTATTAAAATAAGCTTTGCTATTTAAATGTTTTAATAAAAGAATAAAAAAAGCAATTTTACACAAAATTCATCAATGTTCAATGAAGAAC